AGTAGTGCTTGATAGAGTCCCTCTCTACTGGACTCACACTGTAGGCCCAGGGACCCAACTTGTACTCTGTCCTTTATGCTCACAGCTGTGGCCAGTGCCACTTCCTAGTGCCAGGAACTGAGCTAGATGCATCTTAACACAGGTTCTCTCTTCCAACCTTTTCAAGAATGCTATGAACTTGATACTATTATTATGATCCCATGTTCCAGGTAGGGAAACTGAGGCTCCAAATACAAGTTCAGTCGCTTACTCAGGTTCTATAAATAGTAACATCAGAATCTGGATCCAGGCCTTGTTTTAACCAACTCAAGAGGCTGGTTCTGGACCTTTGAGCTCTCCGGTCCCTCTGGTCCCAGAGTACCCAGAGAAGGTGAAGCAGGGAGAGCAGCAGCCAGCGAGCACTCAGCAAGGGGTGGAGACGGTGTCTGCCAAGGGCTTCTGCTTCCTCCCAGGGCCTTCCCATCCCTGGCAGACACCAGACCAGAGCCAGCCTCAACCCCACCCCAGTCTTGCTGGAATCACACAAAAAAATTTTTAATTGCAGATGACTGGGGTCCTCTTCCTCTTCCAAGCCTGGCTTTTGCTTCTTTAGAAGATTTATGTATGAATCTATTCTTTCTTTCTTTCTTTCTTTCTTTCTTTCTTTCTTTCTTTCTTTCTTTCTATTATATGTGCTGCTGAAGTGAGCACTTTTTCTTTCTTTTTAAACGCCAGACAAATACCACGGAGTACTTTTCTGCTAAAAAAAATTATGTCCAGGGGCCAGGGATTTAACTCAGTGGTTTTGCCGCCTGCTGCGCAAGCGCAAGGACTGGAGTACCAAAAAACAAAACAAAACAAAACTATGTGGAGACTGCTCAAGGTAGTGCATGTCTGGAATCTCAGGTATTCAGGAGGCTGAGGCAGAAGAATCAGTTCAAGGCCAGCCTGAACAGAATAAGACCCTCTCTCAGACAAACAAACAAACAAACAAACCTAAATTGGGCAACCTGAATTGCCCAAGCTGAATATTTTTACTTGTTTGTTTGTTTGTTTGTTTTGAGACAAGGTCTCACTAGGTAGTTCAGGCTGGTCCTGAACTCACTGTGTAGCCCAGACTGGCCTCGAGGCAATCCTCCTGCCTCAGCCTCCCAAGTGCTGGGATTACAGTTGTGAGCCACCATGCCCAGCCTCCAGTGTTTTTTAAACATACACTGTGGGTAAGAATGTAAAATGGCATATCCACTTCAGAAAACAATTCCTTAAAAAGTTAAACGCATACCTACCATACGATCCAGCCATTTCACTTGTAGGTGATTACCAAAGAGAAATAAAAGCAAGTGTCTATAAAAAGACTTCTGTGTTCATACTAGCTTTACTTTTTTTTTTGGGTGCCGGGGATCAAACTTGGGACCTTGTGCTTGTGAGGCAGGCACTGGAACCACTAAGCTAAATCCCTGGCCCTTTTTTTTTTGGGTACCGGGCATCAAACTCCGGACCTTGTGCTTTCTTTCGAGGCAGGCGGTTTTTTGTTTTGTTTTGTTTTTGAGACTGGGTCTCACTATGTAGCCCAGGCTGGCCTCAAACTCAAGGTGATCCTCCTGCCTCAGCCTCCCAAGTGCTGGGACTACAGGTGTGCGCCCCATGTCCGGCCAGCTTTACTTATAATCGCCTAAATCTGCAAATAATGCATAGATCCATTAACAAATGAATGGATGAACAAACTGGTGCCTCCGCAGGATGTAACTGTCCCTGGTAATGGAAAGGAAGTGCTGGTGCACACATGGGCACAGAGAAATCCCAGAATAATTATGCTGAATGAAAGGATCCAGGCAGAAAAACAAAAGAGTACATAGCCTGTGTTTCTATTTTACATGAAATTCTGGGAAGTACAAACTAGTCTGTATGACAGAGAGATTCACTCCGTCCTGGGGAGTGGGAGCAGGCAAGGAGGGGTGGGAGGCCAAGACTGCAGGAGCGTGAGGAGACTGGGCAATGGGCAGCTTCACCGCTTCCGCTGCAGTAATGGTGTCACCCACGCACCTCCATACGTGGGTGATTATCGAATTGTACACTTTGTGTCAGGTTTACTATTTGTCAATCATAAAAGGGAGGACGGGAGGGAAAGAGAAGAGAAAAACAGAAACTTCTGCTTTTGTGGGCAGAAAAGCAAGAAGGACAATTTCAGTGGCACAACACATAGAAACCTGGGCGCTCTGACTGCATAACGTGTTTGCCTTCCAAATCTCGTTCCCCACCCATCGTTCCAGAGGATGCAGAGCACATCAAATGTGCTTTTACTCAGCCCCTGACCGGCAGGTCCTTTCTCTCCCCTTCCCCCCACGAAAGGCGAAAGAAGTGGAATCCCGCTGACATGGAGTCAGATAAGGTTTCCTTATCTCCCTTGCTCCATGACGGCCCCAGCTTCTCTCCAAGGAGGCTGCAGGCTGCGAGGAATGTGATGACACACGTTCCCTTTGAAGCTAGCTTTGGCCGGTAAATACATTCTCAGTTCAGAGCAGAAGCACCCCATAGGGTAGGCCCTTCCAAAAGAGCTGCAGTCAGCCCTCCCTTCAGATGCTCAGACTTCTCTAACAGCGAGGAGAGGGATGTGGCTGAAGTCCATATGGTGCATTTTTTTTCTTGGGTTTCCCTAGAGTCCAAACTGAGAATGCTCCTATGCTGGGCATGATGGTGCATGCTTGTAATTCCAGCACTGCGGAGGCTGAGGCAGGAGGATCGCCACCACTTCAAGGCCAACCTGGACTGCATAACAAGATCCTGTCTCAAAAACAAACAAACAAACAAACAAACTGGGAACACTTCTGGCTACAGGAAGCTCGTTGATAAGCAACAAGAAAACAGTTAGAGGGGTGGAGATTTAGCTTAGGGGTTCTACCGCCTGCCTCGAAAGCACAAGGTCCTGAGTTTGATCCCCAGTACCGAAAGAAAAAGAAAACAATTAGAGCATGGTTGACCAAGCTTTAAGGAGGTGTTGGCAGGTCTCCTGTATCCCAGGTGCAAGAGGTTTGGTTTTTTTCCCCCTATATTTTGGGGTGATGGAGATATTCGCCTTTTTTATGGTACTAGAGATGAACTCAGAGCCCCTTTACACTGAGCTACAGTCCTTTTTCTTAATTTTTAATTTTGAGATAGGGTCTCACTAAGTCACTGGATTTCTCAGTCTCTGGGCTACACTTTTCTACGTACATCTTTTCTAATGCATGTGAGCAATGCAGAGTGGAGAGGTTTGTTTTGGTGAATGCATTCAACATATCTTGATCATTTTCAATCCTGTTACCTTCTTTCCTACCTTGTTTTTCTTGTTGGCACATATCACTTCCTAGTTCGTAGTGTATCAACTATGCACACTATACAATTTATTTATCTTGTTTATACTCTGCCTTCCCAAACAGCTCCAGGAAGATACCACTGCCTGGAACGTGCCTGGCCTGCAGCAGGTGCTTGGTAAATACTTGAAGTCACACAAGTGAAGGAATCCTTGCTGGAGGTTTTAGCATGGAAGAAAGGCTCTGCCACTTTTTAGTCTCATGACATTCAGAGGTTGCATTATTCATCCTCTAACACTTCATCTGCCTCAGTGGCCAAAAAAGAGTGGTAGCATCTGTGCTTCTTGGTCACCAGCAGAGCCTAAGAGAGAAGTGTGGCCGTGCGGGGGAAGAGCTACCTCCGCTATGGTTTGCATGCTACGTCCCCACAAGCCTCGCTGTGCTGAGGGCTGGTTGCTGGTGGGATTTGGAGGTGTGACTGGGTTGAGAGGGCTCTACCTGCACCAGTAGATCCATCTACCGAGGGGATCATAATTTGATGCCTGATGGGAGGTGCTGGAAACAGGAAGTGGGGCCTACTTGAAGGAAGTGGGTCGTGGAGCTGTGACACTGGGTGCTGTCTCTGGTCCCCAGTCCCTTCCTCTTGGGCACACTCACCCTGTGCTTCCCAGCTCCCATGAGGTGAGCAGCTTTCCTCTGCCACCTTCCTCCACCGTGATATTCTCCCTCACCACAGGCCTGAAGCCAGGGAGCCAGCCGACTGTGGACAGAAACCTCTGAGACCATCAGCTGAAATAAACCTTTCCTCCTCTAAGTTGATTTTCTCAGGTATTCTGTCACAGTGATGAAAAGCTGACTAATACACTGAAGTGCTCCGGAAAGTTTCTGAGGGTCTGCTCCTGTCAGGTGGGATGCCAGGCACGGAAGGGTGTGGCATGTATCAGAAACTCCTGCCCACTGGGAGCTGCTGCCCAGCCAGAGAGACGGACGAGGTGACAAACACAGCCTGATCACAACCCTGATCTACCATCTGTCAAGCCCAGTACTTTGCACGGTTCCATGTTACCCTTACTAGCTGGGCACCACCAGCAGCTCTATCTTACACCCAGGGAAATTGCAGCAAGATCTTCAGAAATAAACGCTTACATTACCTCTAGATATATGTCCAAGAGAAATGAAGACATGTGCACACAGAGACGTATGAATTTTTTTAGTGGGTGGTTCTGGGGATGGAAACCAGGGCCTCACACATGCTAGACAAATCCTCTAGTACTGAGCTACATCTCCAGCCATGTCTATTTCTTTTTCTTTTCTTTTCTTTTCTTTTTTTTTTTTGGTACTGGGGATTGAACCCAGGACCTTGCACTTGTGAGCTAGGCGCCAGAACATATCTATTTCATTTTGAGACAGGATCTGTCTAAATTGCACAGGCTGGCCTCAAATTTTCGATCCTCCTGCCTCAGCCTCCCCAGCAGCTGGGATTACAGGTGTATGCCACCACCCCTCGCTGAATAGTTGTCCATGCCAGCTCCATAACAGGCAAACCCAAAGAGCCCTAGCAGCAGAGTCAAGGTCACCAAGGGAGGGGCAAGGGAGGAGGGAGAGTGAGTACTTAATGAGGTCGGGGTGTTCAGTGGGGTAATGAAAATGTCTGAAGACTAGAGGGAGCTGGCGGTTGCACAACATTGTGAAATAAAACAGTTTATTTTCAGTTCTTGGATCTGTATTTGATTCTTTTTTTATAGTTTCTAGTTTTGTGCAAACTTTTTTTTTTTTTGGTGCCAGGGATCAAACTCGGGACCTTGCGCTTGCGAGGCAGGCGCTGGAACCATAGTTTCTAGTTTTGTGCTGAAGTTCTTGTCGTCCGATTTGCAAATATATTAATCACAGCTAATAGAGTCAGAGTCCTCCTTCAAAGCTGGGGGCAACTCCAGACTTCAGCCTCACCTTTCTGGACCATCTCTGGGGGTGATGCTGGCTGGAAATTTGCCCAACTATGTCCACCTCAGTGAGTCTGGAAGCACCGGCACCCTACCACCCCCGCCAGGGCTCTTCGGCTTATGTAGACAATGGTCTGAAAATTAAAAAGCAAAACATAAATGTTTAGGTTGGCAAAACTGCAGGAGTTTCTTTTGTTTATTTGGTTTTTTGAGACAGGGTCTCACTATGCAAGTTCAGCCTGGCTTTGGGCTCACTATGTAGCCAAAGCTGGCCTCAAACTTGCAGCGATCCTCCTGCCTCTGCCTCCTGAGTGCTGGGATTACAGCCGTGGGCCACCACACATGCAAAACTGCAGTTTCTAAAGCTGTGTTATTTATTTACTTATTAGGGGAACATTTCTCCCTATTTCATCCCAAGAAATACTACATAATGTAATGTCTTGAGGAAATTACTTTTTAGATAATGATAAGAGCTGCCATTTACTGAGTGCCTCAAGCAGGCTAAGCCTTTTAAGAATTTTACACCTGCTGACTCACTGTGGTCTTCATAAAAAGCCTAAGCACAGGGCTGGAGGTAGACCTCAGTGATAGAACACTTATCTAGTATGTGTAAGACCGTGGGTCTGACTCCTAGCACCTCAAAGGAAAAAAGACAAAGGCCTAGAACCAGGTTTGGCCACCTCTGTGGCTGTGAGACTGAAGGAGCCACGGCCCAGAGAGCCTAAGACATTGACCTGAGGACACACAGCTCGTCCAAAGTGCAGTAGAGGCTTGAATCCGGGTCCAACCACCTCCCCGGCATTTTTCTTTCTGACCGAAAAGGAATGAGCAACCTGGCAATAAAGTCAGAAAAATTTGCCAGTACCATGTGGAAAATGGCTACTGAGGAAGAAGCAGGGATCCAGAGACAGGCACAGAGTTCTGAGTTCCATTTGAGGGGCCCTGGCTTTGAGGACACAGGACTTAACGTCTCGGAGTCAGTGTCTTTCTCTGTAAACCGAGACTGATGAAGGGACTCAGCCCCAGCCCCTAACCCTTCTCCCCTCTCCAGTGGAGCCTGTCCTTCCCGCTGGGGAGGCCTGGGCCAGGGAGAACAAAGGGATCCAGCCGTCTGGGCTGGCATCTGGCTCTTGAAGGAAACTAGACTTGGGCACCAGGCCCTGCAATGGGGAAGAGTAAAGACAGCACCTTCCCAGGCCAACCGAAGCCCCCCTGCAAGTCCCCATGCTCCTACAGGGAAGCAGGACACTCAGCACACTGTCACCCCAAAACCTGAAGGCCTCCCAAGACCAGAGCCCTGACACCTCAGCACTCAGTCCCTCGGTCAGCACCCATTCACTGAGGCTCACCTGCCGTTCAGGACGCTCCTGGTGGCTAGTGACAGAAACCTAGATTAAACTCCTAAAGCAAAAAGAGGGTTAAAGCCAGGCATGATGGTACAGGTCTATAATCCCAGCGCTCTGGGAGGCTGAAGCAGGAGGATCACAAGTTTGGGTTGCTTGGACAACATTTAGTGATTTAGCAAGACTCTGTATAAAAATACAAAATAAAATAAAATAAAGGTTAAAAGCCCTGAGTTCAATCCCTAGCACCACAAAGGGTGGGGGGACGAAGGCTCCCTGTGACCAGACAGTCTAGGGAGCAGTTCAGACGCCGCTGGGCCCAGGGTCCTCGGTGGCATCACCACAGCCTGCTCACGCCATGCTAGGCTCTGCCCCGCTCTGTCGGTTCCTTGTGAGGCAGCCCCTTCCCCCGTGGTGACAGAGACAAGGGCGGCCGTGCCAGGCTGAGCCCTCAGCAACCCTGGCGGGCGGGCGGGCGGGTCCAGGGCTGCTGCTACTGGCTCAGGTGGCCTGGCGGTGGCAGTCAGAGGGACCCCACTTCTCATCGGCTCCCCTGGCTCACACATTGCTGCTGCTGTGGGGACCGGAAGGGGACACGGCCGGCCCGCCTGCCCCAGACACTGCTCTGAGGGCTCCAGGTATGCACTGTTCTCCCCGTCAGGCAGGTGAGGGAACGCACAGAGATCAAGCTACCTGCCCAGGCCACACGGTGCGGGCAGAGCAAGGCTGGGCCCCAAATCTCAGCACTTATGACTTTGGGCCTCCCTCCTAACCTCAGCTCCTAGCATTTCACCCTCGAGCTCTGTCCTCTGCCGAACTGAATCCCTCCCTGCTCCTCAAAGGACAAAGCTTTCTTTCTCCTCCTGGGATTCTTTTGCCCTAGCTGCTTCCTTTGCTCACCATCATCCCTTTCCTTTTATTTATTCATTTATTTGTCAGTAATATCCTTTTTTTTTTTTCAGTAATATCCTTTTTGTTGTTGTTTTTGAGATAGGGTCTCACTAAGTCACTCAGTTGCCCAGGCTGGGCTTGAACTCCTAAACCTCCTGCCTCAGCCTCCCAGAGTGCTGGGATCCCAGGCCTGCACCACCACCCCCAGCTGACACACAGTAGTTGTGCACGCTTAGGGGACACAAGGTGGCATTTCAAGGCATGCCTACGATGTGTGCTGTGCTCCTTCCCCCAGGTTACTTTCCTACTCAACCCTGTGCCTTGGCCAAAGCAGCCCTCACTTAGGCCCGGCCTGCTGGCCTTCAACAGCGGGGCCCTTTGCTGAGCCCACCAGCCCAGCTGTCCCCTGTCTGCATGAGATTGTGACTGCCAGCCGATGCTGAGGCACCCCGCAGGTGTCAGCCTCACTGCTGCTGTCAGAACATGCCGGGCACAGCTGCTTGGGCATGGGCTGCTCACACTGCCACAGTGCAACGGCTTGACACACACAGACGTCTTCTCACACAGCTATGGAGGCCGAAGTCACAACTCGGTCCCTCAGCTAAAGTCGAGGTGTTAGCAGGGCTACTTCCGCCTGCAGGTTCCAGGGGCGAAGTTCCCTCACCTCTTCCAGCTTCCGAGGGCCACCTGCATCTTGGCTTGTGGTCTTCTCTTCTGCCTTTAAAGAAGACAACATGACATCTTCAAAGCCCTTTCTTGCTGGGCACAGTGGCACACACCTGTAAACCCTGCTACATGGGAGGCTAAGGCAGGAGAATCACAAGTTGGAGTCCAGCCGGGGCAATTTAGCAACACCCTGCCTCAAAATAAAAAGGTGCTGGGTTCCAGCTCCAGGACAGCCAAAAAAAGAAAAAGAAGAGAAAGAGAAGAGAAGGAGGAAGAGAAGGAAGAGAGGAAGAAAAAGAAAAAAGTATCGTTTCCCTTTTTTGCCTTTGCTTCACCATCTGTGTCTTCTACCTGGAGGACAGAAGGAGGAGCCCCTCTTATAAGAAGTAGGATAATGGGCCGGGGATTTAGCTCGGTGGTTTCTCCACCTGCTGCGCAAGTGCAAGGATCCAAGTTCCATCCCCGGTACCAAAAAAAGAAAAGTAGGGTCAGCCTTGAAGTTGTGGTGATCCTCCTGCCTCAGCCTCCCAAGTGCTGGGATTGTACAGGTGCATGTACCATCACGCCCTGCCTGATATTTTAAAGGGTTACCTTTCTGCCTCCCACAGGGGTCAGACGTGCAGGCTCTGAGCCATGGGTGGCCCCTACCTCACAAAGCCCTGGGCTGTTCCAGGATCGAGTAGAGACGGAAGTCCAAAGTGCAGAGGCCCAGTGAAAGTGGTGGACAAAGGTTGGAGGGTGCTGGGTTTGGGCCGGGCTAGGGCAGAGTGCTTCCTCACTGCCTGAGGCCCCTGGCTCCACCCCTAGCAACACAAAGAGCTTCAAAAAGAAGTGTGGTCTTTGTTTGGGTTCCCACCAGCAGACCCCGAGTCTGCCTGTCATTTCTTGCTTCCCTTCCGGAGGTGACTTCTTGAGAAGGCACTGGCAGGGAAGCTGGGAGGCAGGAAGCCTGCGGGCGGCGCACGAAGGAGTTTCCTGCAGCTGGACCTGACCCTGCAGAGGGCCCCGAGCACTCAGCCAGTACTTGGGGGCTGAGGGAGATGAGAGGCCCCGCTCCAGCCCTCTGTCCTCCACCTGCATGGGCTGAGCCGGCTCTGCAATCAGAGGAAGTCCTCCGGCGAAGGGTCAGGACCTAAACCTGGCCGAAGGGTCTGGGTGGGCACAGAGGGTTGCTGCAAACGTCACTCGGCCAGGGACCCTGATCCGGTCACTGGACACAAAGCAGATCCTCAGGCCTGAGGCTGGGGACGCCAGTCACAATCCCTGCTCTGCCCGGGGAACAGAGGGCGGGCTGGGTCACACGGTGGAAAGCGGGGCCATGGAGACCGTGGTCCTGGTGGAGGACAGCGTGTTTGGCCTTCTGCGGGTGGGCGCGAGTAGAGCTCAGAGAGGCGGGGTGGACAACGGAAAGGGGGAGAAGTCCCCAGAGGCAGGGGAAGGCCGGCTACTCCTCCGCAATCAAACCCGGAGGCCTCACACACTCAGCCCCCCAGCGGTGGAGGCAAAGGTTGCTCCGGTGTCAGGAAACCTGCCAGGCCTGGGTTCCGCACCAGGGTTGATTTGAACAGGAGACCAGAGCACCTGGACACTGCACCTCCCACTCAACCTGCACCCCTCCATCTTCCCAGTCCCCTCTCTGCTCGAAACCCGGAGGGACTCAGCCAACAGAATGTGGTCCGTTCCTCCTCGGAGCCTGGGATTTGGGCCTTGACACCTTGACCCTCTGTGAACTTCTGAAATGAGGCCCTTTTTGAGGTGCTGCTCTAACCCTGGGACCCAACCTACACCCATGATCTATACACATGACCTCATCCTCTTTCTTTCTTTCTTTCTTTCTTTCTTTCTTTCTTTCTTTCTTTCTTTCTTTTTATTTTTTCTTTCTTTCTTTCTTTCTTTTTTTTATGGAGAATTTGTTTATTTGTTTAATGAAACCAGTACTGTTTGGACACAAAACTAGTTTATAAATATATATATATATATATAATGTAATATATATATGTTTTATATATATATATATATTTTACAAGCAGAAACTAATACCAGCTGGCATTTCTAAAAGGAGCCCAGAGCAGAGGAAAGATACTTCTAGCCAAAGGGAGGCAAATTAAATTTTAAAATGTTTAATACATTCCTTCTCACTTAGTCACATTGCCCCATCAAAGTGATTATGAGACACACACGACTTCTAACAAACTCAAAGTACAGCCACGCTTTTCAGCCAGTGTATTCATGACATTGACAAAGATTATTCACATGTTGTAATTTAATTCTATTTCGATGTGTTTTATAAATACTTTCAAGTATGGGAGAATATTTTAAAGGACTTGATTTTCTTTTTTAATATAGAACATGAGCAAAAATGATTCTCTTACCTTAATTGGCCCAGATTACCCAAAAGTAATTAAACAGCAAAAGAACAAAGTAAGGCTGATTTTTGGTCCTATAACACCATAAGATTCCATCACTGCAGAATATCTTAATGTGCACATAATTACTCACATAGAAATGTCAGTCGACATCAATCGAGCGAGATGGACAGGTCGTTACTGCAAAGTCCTCTGGCCACTGGTGGGCTGCTTGCACTTTCTCTGCTTCCAGAGCCAGGCACTCCAGGGCTTTTCATCTGTTGCTTATGAGTTGTTCAATACCCCTGGCTGTGATCTCCACCAGCTGCTGGGCGTTATTCGGCTCCCCAATATACAAATCTTGGTATTTCTCATAAATAACACCGAGTGGGAGGATTCCACTTGCTGTTTTTGCCAGCGTGACAAGGTCTTCTTGTATCTTATCCACCCGTGACCTGAAAGTGACGGCCAAGGAGAACAGCTCCTGCGCGCCCTTGGCCAGCAGGTGGCCCTGGGCCATGGTCACCACTGAGGCTGGGGTCCCCATGCTGGTGGTGCGGGGGGTGCAGGGACCTTAGCACCGCGACTGCCTCGCCTTGGCCGCGCATGCCCATCAAGGGCGCTGGCCTAGGGGGCCTCACCTCATCCGATTTCTGAGAGGTAGAGGAGGTGGATTCAGTGTCATCTGCTAATCTTCTTGATCCGGGAAAGTCTGCATTCAAGACCTGGGTTCTAATCCCAGCACCCGTATGACTTTTGGTAAAGGAGTTGATCATAACAGTGCCTATCTGGCAGAATTGTGATGACTAAACATGTGAAGCACTCAGCAGAGTTCCACCATAGCAAACCGTCCACTGCTCTGTCTAATAAGTATTACCCCATTAATTCTGCTAAGAACCTAGAGCCCTGGGTGTCCCCATGGGAGGAAATCACCTTACTTCGATGGACTGAACGTCCTGCTCACTTTTCCCTGGAAGCCCCCTGAGCCAGCAACTTGGACTTGTTCATCATGGTTTCTGGCATAGCATATACTTTACATGTTCTTTTTGAAAGAATTCTTGTTTGGCTTAAGGTTCCTTGGTAATGAGGGGGTCAATACAGCCTCCAGCCCATACCATGCATAGGTGCAGGCCCGAAGCACCTTCTGTATCTTAGGGCTTTGGCTGGGTACCAAGGCAAGACACAAGAATGCCACAGACCCTCAGCACTGCCTTTGAGGAACTCAACCTTTCAGAGAGGATAAATAGAAATATCTGGACTTTATAAGGCATTACATACGAACCCAGGCTCACTTCTTCAGGTCAGCCTTAAGTCTCCATGCCTAGCACATAGTTAATACTCAAGGAATATTCATTGAATCAATAAGTAAAACAAGAAGGAAGCAATTGTTGCTGATAGTTGAGTAACGGTTGGTGACACATTTTGGCATATGACCCTGAAGTGTGACATAACCTCACTGGATCCTTAGGACATCCTGCAAGGGAGGCAAAGCTGCCGTGCGTGTTGTATTCTTGTACTGAGCTGTATCTCCAGCCCTTTTTGTTTATTTTTATTTTGAGACAGAGTCTTGCTAAGTTGCCCAGTCAGGGCTCGAACATGTGACCCTCTTGCTTCAGCCTCCTGCCTGGGATTACAGGCATCGGCACCATGCCTTTCAATAACCATTTTAGAGACGAGACTAATGAGGCTTGGGGAGGTGAGGAGACTTCCCAAGGCCACAGAGCTGGGGAGGGGAAAGGCTGGGCATACAGTTCAGATCTGTGTTCGAAATGAGCTTCAAACAATGATTAAGAGGTACAGAGATGGGTGTGGAGCGCAGGCGGAAGAACAGCACAGCAGAGGTGTGGCGGCAGGAGTGAGGATTCTCTGTGGAGGGTAAAGAATGAGGAGGCTATTTGCCCCTGAGAAAAAATAGCAGAATACCACGGAGGTGAGGAGCATGGGTTGTGCTGCCAGCCCCTCCCTCGGCAAGGCCCACCTTTGCCACTTAGGGGCTGTTCCACCCAAGCCAGTCACCTGGCCTCTCTGCCCGAGCATCTTTACCTTCGCAATGGGCATGGCAGTATCTCCCTTATGGGGCCCCTGTGGGGATGAAACAACATCACGATTGCCAAGGGCCCAGTGTGGCTGGTGTGTTCCCTCCTTCATGAAGCCGCCCCGTTGCCTGTGCAAGGGGGAGCGTGGAGATCTCAGGGCACACTTGCTAGGCCAGTGCCACATCAGATTGCCCACTCTGTGAGGCAGCCACAGCCTGCCCGTTCCTGTGCGGGGTCAGCCACATGCTAGACAGACAGTGGATGTTGGTGGATGGACAGACAGATGGACAGGCATGAGGCTGAGGCGATGCCTCCTGCAGGCAGTGAGCAGCACTGGCATGTGGGCGCCCACGGTGTGTGGCCTTGAGCCTAACAGTTTGGATCAGAAGAACCTGCATCTCGTCCCTGCCCTGGGTGGGGTGTTTGCTCTGCTCTTATTTCTGCAAAGCAATTAACTGTACATACTGTCAGTCCAAGGAGACAGATTCTAGAAGGTAAGCAGCCCTTCCCTCTCTGAGCAAGATCTTGCCACAGTCCTGTGGCTGGAATCAGGATCCTGGAGTCTGTTTTTATTTTCCTTTTACATGGAACAAAGCATTATACTCATGAGCCTTTTGCTTTATCTCAGTGACACGGTTTGTGCCCTCTTCTATACTTTCTGCTCCTAAAAGTTAACTTTCACCAAATTGCCCTCATAATGAACACTGCCCTGGATTTTATTTTCCTTTGCCTCTTAGGGCTCCCCAAAGCCAGGTACTTGTGTTTGTCTAACTGCTGGTGGCTGTGGCCAGGCCCTGGCTGTGCAGCGTGGAATTCACTTTCCCGTCCTCAGAGTGGGACAGTGGGTCTCACCAGTCCCAGCAGCTCTATGGCTGGGTGCAAAGCAGCGTGGTCACAGAGCTGCCTTTGTGTACAAAGGCAAAGCAAAATATACGTGATTGACCGAGCATGCAGGATACCTCTAGAATGAGTCACAAGAGCAAGGCAAGCATGGGGACAGAGATGCCAGACTCTTCCGTGGTATCTTTCACATTTCAAACCATGGCGTTTTGCTTTTTTGTTTAAGGTAACTTTTTATTTTAAAAATAAAGATTTCCTCCTGGAGGTGCAGACCAATTCCTGCTCTTTCCTACACAAAGGTTGGGTCGGACTTATTGTCTCACTTCCGGAGAGAACATATAGAAAGTGAAAAATAGTTGCTTAAGGGCTGGAGGTGTAGCTTGGTGGTAGAGCACTTGCCTAGCATGGATGAGGCCCTGGGTCCCCAGTCTTGAAAAATAAGTAGCTTTCTATCTATCAAGAAGCCTGATAGATATCACCCGAACATAGGGTCAAGGCAAGCCTGGCAGGTAGTATCACCCTCACACTCCCCATCCCTGAATTAGGATATAATGACAAGGTCTCCATAGCAGCGATCCTCCTGCCTCAGCCTCTTGAGTGCTGTGATTATAGATGTGCGCCACCATGCCCAGCTTTGGTTTTGTTTTTGGTTATACTAGGGACTGCACCCAAGCCCTTCACACTGAGTTACATCCCCAGACTTTTATTTTTTTATTATTTTGAGACAAGTTCTCATTAAACCACCAAATTGCCCAGGCTGGGCTCTAAATTGTAATCCTGCCTCAGCCTCTCAGGGAGCTGGGATTACAGGTGTGCATGCACTACCACATGTAGCTTGTAGTGTTCTTTAAAAAACAAAACCTACAGCCCTAGAAGTGATGTAGAGATGATATAAGGACCCCCAAATGATACGAGAAATACTGTAACTCCCAACTTGTTAGGTGTCTGATATGCTGAGTTCATGTTCTCTAAAAGCAATTCTAGGAACAACGAAGGTTAAGAGTAGGAAATATTTATTGAGCAAAAGACAGCTTCTGTCTGAGAGAGACAGAAGGGGACCTAAAAAGTGGGTTGCCCACAAGCCCACTACTCAAGTTTTATAGAGCAAAATCACGAGGTGGGTTCAAAATCAGAAGGTGGGACAAAGCTATGGTCAACTAATAAGATTACAAGTATAGTTGCTTAGGTAATCTTGATCAGCGGGTCACGTAGCAAGTGTGCATGGAAAGAACAAGGGCCTTTCCTGGAAGGGACAGTTAAGGTCTAGGTCCCCCACCTAGGTGACTGATGCTTATTTAGAATATCAATCATTATTGTTCATCCCTGGGGAAATAGGTGTAGTTGTTTCCTCTTTGTCTTGAGGCCTGAACTTCAAGAAATGCGCTTCTACCCAGTTGTGATGTGTTCTCATCTTCTGCACTGACTTCTTTGAAGCCTTAGCCTGGTCTGACTGCCTGAAATATTTCTACCTAACTTAGCTGTCTGAAATAGTATCATTAGGAGAAAACCATCAGATGGACCCAGATTGGGGGACATTCTACAAGACAGCTGGCGTGTCCTCCTCAAGACTTAAGGTCATGGTTTTCTCGGAGGGACTGTCACAAATTAGAAGGGAGACTTCACAGCTCAGGTCTTGACCTGACAACAAAGTAACCTGGGTAGAAGCTTGGAACAGAAAGAGGACATCCAAATCCACTTCAGAATTCAGTTACAGCAAGTTTTTGTTGTTTTGCTTTGGTTTTTTTGAGATGAGGTCTAACTACAGGGTCCAGGCTGGCTTTGAACTCATGATGGAGTTCATGCTGGCCTCAAATGATCTTCTTGCCTCATTGGGATTACAGGTGTGCGCTATCATACCCAGCAAAAAGTTCATTAAAAAAAATAAAGAGTTTCCACAACCAGATGTGGTGGTGTACACCTTTAACACCAGCACTCTGGGGAGCTAAGGTAGGAGGGCCACAAGTTCTAACTCAGCCTGGGCAATTTAACAATTTAGCAAGAGGCTGTCTCAAAATTAAAAAATAAAAGAAAGGGCTGGGGATGTAGATCAATATGAAGACTGAGTTCAATCCCCAGACCGCCCCCCAAAAATAGAGTTCTCTAAATTTCAATGAAGACTAAAATAAGAGAAATTGCTCTAATATGAATGTTGGGGCCCGGGGATGTAGCTCAGTGGCACCCTGCCTGCCTCACAAGCACAAGGTCCTGAGTTTGATCCCTGGTACAAAAAAAAAAAAAAAAAACTAGGGCCAGGGATTTAGCTCAGTGGTTTTGCCACCTGCTGTGCAAGCGCAAGGACCCGAGTTCCATCCCTGGTACAAAAAAAAAAAAACAACCTAAAACAAACATAAATACTGAATAAAAACTCTGGTACCCTCTCTCACCATTGGTCTGTGTGGTTCTGGAAGTCCCTCTCAGCCTCTGTATCCCTGTCTACAGGAAGGGGCACACCAGGCCTGCCTCAGCGTGGCATGAAGAGTGCCTAATTACTGTCAGCCACATTACTAACAGCCTGGTTACAAAAGGCAAACACATCTTTTGTGGATGTGTATTTCATTCCATAACAATAATAATATGACTTCATTTAAGGAAACTAAGGAAGCAGTTAAACACACGCTCTCTCTGTCTCTGTTTCTCTCTGTCTCTTTCTCTCTTTTCCAGTACTGGGGATTGAATCTGGAGCCTTTCCACTGAGTTACGTTCTCAGCCCCCTTTTTTTTTTTGGTACCAGGGATCTAACGCGGGACCTTGTGCTTTCCAGGCAGGTGGCAGAACCTGAGCTAAATCCCTGTCCCCCACCCTTTTTTTTGAGACAGGGTCTTACTAAGCCACTAAATTGTCCTGTCTGGGCTTGAACTTGTGATTCTCCTGCCTCAGCCTCCTAAGCGCTGGGATTACAGGTGTGCACCACCATGCCTGGCATAGCCTTTTCTTTATGACTTCCTTTATAAACTGTCCACATGGCCCATAGGAAGGTGCTATCAGCATGTGGGGTCACCAGCAACACACTGCCTTGCCTGATTGTTTTGTGGCCTCAGACAAAATTCCTTCCAGGCCAGGCCTGTTTGTGCTGGATTCTACTGCAAAGCCACACCCCTGCTCCTCTCCCCAACTCTGTTTTTTCTGTCTCCACTCATCTGCGAAACCGCCCAGTCATCTCTCTCTGCTGTTGTGCTGCCCCACCCAGGCTGGAGAAGGCCAGGCCCCCCTCAGACCTGCGTCAGTGTGACTCCACGTGGGTGGAAGTGTCCCCTTCCCTCCCTGACTCATCAGGCCTCTGGGTGACCTTTCTTCCGGGTGAGGTCTGCTCCACCTGTGCCCTCCCATGGGGCAGGGTCCATGTTCTTTTGCGGGGTGGGGGGTGGAAATGGCTAAGGAGATCTGAAAGCCTCAAATCTGCTATGGGACAGCAAGGTGCCAGCTCCGGTGGTGGGGTAGTTTCTGAATCTCATTTTGCCCATCTGTAAAATGGGATAACGTCTGTCTCATAAAGAATTCGTACAAGGGCCGGGGATTTAGCTCAGTGGTTCCGGTGCCTGCCTCGCAAGCACAAGGTCCCGAGTTCAATCCCCGGTACAAAAAAAAAAAAAAGAAGAAGAATTCATACAAGCCCTTTGCAAAAGGTGTGATTAGAGCCTGGTGGAGGGGTGCACACCTATCATCCCAGCTGGCGCTTGCAAGGCAGGCAGTGGAACCACTGAGTTACACCCCGGCCCTCTAAATTATGGGATCCTGAGAGGCAGGGACAGAGCTTCTAGTCCGGAGCTCCTCCTAGGGTTCTCTGAGAAAGGGGAAGCAAAGGAACCAGGACCGGGAGGAGCGCAAGTCCGGCGTGGGTCTCAGCCTTCCGCCTGGGCCTGACTCCCACTTGGAGGCTGGCCCGCCCCTGCCCGGCCCTGGCCTTACCCCTACACCGTCTCCTGAAGCCCCACCGGGCCCCACCTCCACAGCGTGGCCCCCACCTGAAGCCACATCCCGGCCAAAGCTCCAATCCAAATCCCCCCTGGTCTCCGGGGCTCCAAGGCCGCCCCTCCCAGGCCTCCCGCTGGCCGCGCCCTCCCACCACGGAACGCTGGAAGCTCAGTAGGCCCTGGCGCAGGCAGTGTTTCCAAGGCCTCCTTGTTTTATGAAGAGTTCCGTATCCAGTGATCTCCTCCTCCACTGTCACCATCTAAGTTCAATGTTAGCTAGGAAAGTGCCAGGTAGTAAATGGTAGTGAGAGAGAGACCTGAGCTCAAATCCTGACACCATCAGTGTGGCTAGGAGGTGAGGATAGTGTTGTGGGTTTTCTGAGAGGACGCTATTATTGTTGTTGTTTTGTTGTTGTTTTTGTTGTTATGACTCGAGATGGATGAGAAGGACCTGGACAGACCCAGCAATGCAGATGATAGCAGCAAGTCAGATGTAGTGCTCGCCATGTTCTAGGCCATGCTCTAAGCTTCATGTAGAAGTCACTCCGTTACCATGCTCTTCCTGCAATGGCGGAGTTGCTCTTGTCCTGATAGAGAGGGGAACCCTGAGGTACATAGAATGCACAGTGATCTGCCTGTTGTCACAGAGGTAATGACAGGTGGAGCTGGGTGAGCTCAGGCCATCTGGCTTCGAGGCTGTAACCGGCCCACCAGCTATGCCCACTCTTGGACACCACCCTGGCCCCTTCCCCTGCAGCCTGGGCTGGGGAGCTCCCAGTCTTGTCCCACTGGGGCGGGTGACCCACTGCTAAAGGAAGAAGCCCTCTGTCCTCAGACACTTCTGCTTTCCAGGTAGCTACTACAGTGGTGCCTCAGTTTACCAACTTGATTTGTTTTACAATTTGGGGGAAGATGGCTGTGGTTGTGTTTGTTGCTTGGTGTGAAGTTTGTGAATGGGAGCAAAATTTGGCCAAACACTTTTTGTTTGTGAACCAAACTGTTTGCAGACAGAAGCGTTCGTGAACCGAGGTATTACTGTATGTACTGAACAAAAAGCACTCCCCAGCAATGATGCAAAGGATTAAAGCATCTCATGTAATCCTTAACACAGGCCTCCTCAATAGGCACCACTGTGAATCCCTGGACCACCAGGCAGCTGTGCTCAGATGGCTTTGACGACTTGGTCTGGGCCACACAATGTGACTCAGCAGTGCCGTGTGCTGCCTTCCTCATATATATATATATATATATATTTTTTTTTGGTACTGGGGATTGAACTCAGGACCTTGAGCTTTTGAGGCAGGTGGCAGAACAACTGAGCTAAATCCCCAGCCCGATATTTTTGTTGTTTTTTTTTTTTGGTACTGGGGATCGAAATCGGGTCCTTGTGCTTGCGCAGCAGGCGGTGAAACCACTGAGCTAAATCCCCAGTCCCTGCCTTCCTCTTGATGGAGGTGGACAGGCCCTGCCTCAGGCTGTTTGGGGCCCACTTGCTTCTTATCCCAGCTGGATGCAGCTTGTAGTTCATGACAGCAGGTGTGGGGCAGCTAGGCGTGGAGAGGCTCAGCTCCCATCCACTCCAGGGAGAGGAGGTGGGGTTGAGCCACCCCTCACCTGCTGTTCCACTCTCCACCCACCCAGGCTGGTATGGTTCTCCTGGATGGCAGGATGGGGAGGGAGCAACCTAACTTTCCAGTGAATACCAGTGGAGGACTTCAGTGGGCATCACCCTGCCTTGAGTCAGGGGCTGGACATGGTGACCTCCTGGGAGCCTCTCCTCTGGGCCTGAGCACCTTAGACCCCTAAGGCCCCAGAGACATGAGGTGGCCGGGGGTGGTGGCACACACCTATAATCCCAGCCTTTAGAAGGCAGAGGCAGGAGGATTGCTGCAAGTTGAACAGCGAGTTCAAGCCCAGCCTGGACTACAAAGGAAGACCCTGATGAAAAAGATCAAAACCAAATAAACAAGAGGGAGGGAAGGAAAAGCAAAAGGATCAAGATGGGATATGTATTATGTACAAATTCCCCACAATGAATGTGTTTTTTTGTTTGTTTGTTTTGTTCTGTTTGTTTTTTGCTTTTGGTACCGGGGATCGA